TAGAACATTATCCAAATACATTTTAGTGGTGATTTGAAAATTATTATTTTTATTTTACTACCTTTTGGTACTTAATCATTATTTAAAAAAATATCTTATAAGAGCTGAGCCATAGTAAATTTGTAAATAGAGTTTGTAAAGTAATGTTTAGCCATGAAAAAAAATGAAAAGGAAACCATCACAGCCTAGAAAATAATCCTTTACGTCAAACTCTATCAAATGATAGTTTTAAATCAAGAAAATAGCACATTTGCAATATTGTTTTCTTCCTAGTGAGATGAAATATAGCATTTAAAACTTRTTGTTTAGTGCTATAGTTCAATCAATATCCAAATCTGAAGAAAATGAGTTAAAAGATTTTAATAGATTTTTGAGAAAAAGGGAAAGAGGCTTATAGATCCAAATTTTAATTGTGTTATTTATAATTATTAATGAACATCTAAAATACAAATATTTTTTATTAAAATTTGTACTAGCCAATTTGCTGTAATATATGCAAAACTGATTTTTTTAATTTTCAGACCAAATGCAATGGAGGATCTCATTTACGTAAGATAAAAATTTTGATTTCTATATATTATTGAACAATATTTTACTAAATTGATTTATTATTTTACAGTTGAATCAAATTTAAAGAAAATTAATGAATGGCAGAATCGAGCTAAAGGTGCGTTTAGACGTTTCATGACCACTATATGTGTTAGATTTCAAGATCTTACCTCCAAATAATGCAATAATATCATATAAATTGGGAAAAAAATAATTTCTTTAAATTAGTTGGACTCAAGAAGTCTCCATAAAGTTACCTACTATATTAAACACAATACACAAATTATTATTATCTTCAAAAATATGTTAATAAATAATAATCATAATTTAAGTGCCATTCAAAAATATTTTAGCAATAAACAATAAGTTGTTTCATTACTATAAATACTATGAATCTATTATTTAAGTGTATAATGTTGGTGCAACATATTATATTAATTATTTTTTATTGTAATATTTAAGTTATATTTGTTAAAGAAAAACAT